ACTTGGAGCAGTACGCCTGGTTGTTCATTTTTTCTGAAGAGAGGTAGCTAGATCTGCAGATCATACTGACAGGCAGTGTCTGACCATTTGGCTGTATGGTCTGGAACTTGGAAGGAACATAATTAGACAACTGGTGATAAGGAGGTCTGGGAAAGGTGTATATGTGGATAGACTGAATGGGCAGGGTGTGAATATATTTGTGTCTCATGTGACTCCTAAGAGGAATCTCATTAGAGTATGATCATAATAATCAGGTGGATGAGATGATACATTCTGTGTATGTCAGTCAGTCTTTTCCTCCATCAACCCCTGGCCTTGCCCAACAGACTCATGAACAACATGGCCATGGTGGCAGGATGAGGGTTAGATGTGGCTTTAGCAGGATTGATTTCCACTCAACAAGGCCAATCTGGCTACAGCTATTGCTTAAGTGCTCAAGTTGCCTACAGCAGAGTGTAAGACTAAGCTTCCATTTCCTGGAGGTATCACTTAGCCATCAGGTACATTGCATTAAGCCTCTTCCATTATGAAGAAGCAGCCCTTTTTTTCTCCCTGAATACATACTTATTCTGGAAATGAGTTTCCTTCCCCGGTTGCAATGCTTCTATCAAAACCACCATGCATGGACTTACACCATCACACTATTCCACCCAGTGTTACTTCTAACCAAGAAACTCATTTTATAGCAAATAAAGCAATGGGTTCCTGCTCATAGAATTTACTGGTCTTATTATGTTGCCTATTACCCTGAAGTAGCTGGCTTAATAGGATGGTCAAATGGCCTTTCTCTTCATTGTGATAAAATTACAATTTTAACCATTTAAAAATGTACAATTCAATGGCATTAAGGACATTCACAATGCTGTGCAACCATCACCTCTATCTAGCTCCAGAACCTTTTCAGTACTCCAAAAGGAAACCCCATGCCCATTAAGCAGCCTCCCCATTCCTCCCTCTCCCCAGCCCCTGGCGAGCACTAATTAGATTTCTGTCTCTATGGTTTTGCCTGTTCTGGATATTTCATATAAATGGAGTCATACAATATTTAGCATTTTGTATCTGGCTTCTTTCACTTAGCATGTTTTAAGCTTCATTGGAATGGCCTTTTGAAGACTCAATAATCCGTCGTACCAACTGGGTGGCAATACCTCATGTAGCGAGGATAATATTCTCTGGGTTTTGGAGTATGTTCTAAATCTAAATGTATATCCATGATCCAGGAATCAAGGAGTGGGACTGGCAGTAGATCCTCTTACTTTTACCCCTAGTGCAAAATTTTGCTTCCCATTCCTGCAACTTTGGGCTCTCCTGGTCCAGAGCCCAAAGAGGTCTTCGTTCTCAAAGAAGAATGTCTCCACCAGGGTACACAGCAAGAGTTCAATTAAACTGGAAGTTGAGACTGCCATTTGGCCATTTGGGGAACCTTGTGCTAGTTAACCAACATGCAAAGAAAGGGGTTACTCTACTGCCTGGGATGATTGACCCTGGCTACTAAGCAGATTTTGAGCTGCTGCTACACAATGGGAAAAGGGAGGAATATGGCTGGAATGCAGGAGAGGCCTTGGGGGTGCCTCTTAGTACTCCAATGCTCCGTGTTATGACAGTGGAGAACTACAACCAAGAATACTTTTACTGATAGCAGTAGAACCTCTGCTGGCCCAGATCCTTTAGGAATGAAGGTTTGGGTCACTCCACAAGGCAAGTGGAGTGACCCACATCATTTTCAGCTGAGATGCTTGCTGAAGGCAAACGGGATATGAGACAGGTAATGGGAGCAAGAAAATAGTTATAAATAGTAATTATGATCATGTTTTCAGTTGCAGATACAAGGACTATAACAGTTCTGAGCATTTTTCCTAATTTTGATATGAATTTATCTGTGTATTTATTTATTTTATCTTTATTACATCTGTGTATTAACCAATTATTTTCTTTTACTCCTCTCTCATTCCCCTATGATGTGTTAATAGTAGGTAAACTTATATCTTAGTATATAAGTTGCAGAATAGCCAAGGTATATACTGTGACTCGTCAAGAAGAGGAATTAACATCACTCAAAGACTCCATCCTCTTGGGGAAGGAGGGAGCTGTTTTGGGTTATATGAAACAGAGTTGCATCATATGGACAGAGGCATGATTTTGCTATCGTCTTTATTTGAAAATTAAATACGATTAAAAGAGTGTGTATGGATGTCAAGTTGGCAAGTGTTGGACTGGGGTGGTTATGTTCTGACAGCTTAGCTAAGTTGGAACTACATTTCCCAGAATTCTCTTCCTTCTCTTCCAAAACCAATAGTTTTGGTTATGGTTGGCCACAATAGAAATTTGCAAAAGAATTAAAAAGTGAAGTGAAGCACCAGCCATTACACTTGAAAGGTCCCTGCAGGGTCCCAGGCACCACTGTGATTTTGCACATGATCCACTAGCTCTCCTCACTGGCAAGGGGGCAGCTCCTCCAGCTTCTCTGACCTCTGGAGGAGGAACATGTGTGGCAAATCAATCTTGCTCTCCCTCTCTCTCGCTCTCTCTCCCTGGCTCTGTATATACTTTATAGGTTCTGCTTTTCTGAAGAACCCTAGTACACTCTCCAATACAGTAAAGAACGCTGAAAACAGCTGAAGTTCTGGTCTTGAGCAACCACACGGTGTGGTGGAAATGCATGGCTCTGAAATCATACAGAACAGAGTCCAGTGGCACAAATGATTTATGGCTTCGAAACCTGATTCCCCATCTGTAGAGTTGGGATCAAGTTTTTACTTTTGCAGCTGTTGCACAGGGCTAAGTTAAACATTATATAGAATACCTATCACAGTTCACAGTGGGTGCATAGTAAATGTTAGCTCCCCTCTCTGCTGAGGGAGAGCTGAGTCTTGTTAAATGATTTCATCAAGTCTCTTAGATGTTATTAAATATGACAGAGTTACTTGGCATATACTGTCTGATATCACACCGATGCTGCTTTCTGGGTGTTTAGATGAACACAGAATTCAGACATTATTTGAGGTAAGTTCTGCCATTTATCTGTGGAAGATCTAAGGCAAGTCATGTTTCCCTGAGCCTCCTTTCAATTTAGAAACTATTACCTCATGGGGTTTTTGTCAGATGTAAATACGAGGGAGAACTCAGCTTAATCACAAGTATACAGAGGATGCTCAAATCTGCTAGACGTCGTGGGAGTAATTAGGGTTTCAGAGATGACTTGGGTCAGCTGTTGGGAGACAGGCTGGGACCTGAGACCCTCTGCTGCAGTATTTACACCTGGACCAACAGCTCCTCAAGCAAGAGAATACAAAGAAACAATAAGGGACTAAAAATAAATGCATGCATACACAGCTGGGGCAAATTATGAACAAGATACAAAAAGACCAAAAACCCACCTGACACTTCTGAGGTGTCCGGAGCAAAAGCAGGGTACTGTGCAGGATCCCTGCACACAACACCGTCAAAGGGGTGGGTAGACTACCTAAGCCACCCCCCCAGCACGACCCCAGGATCCTCCCCTCCCTCACCCCATCTAAGGGACCAGCTCAGGACCTCCCCCCCTCCCCCCCGCCCGCCCAGTTAGCAAGGGAACCTGTTATTTGTTTTCACTCCCTCCTGCAGTAGCAAGAGGCCCAATAAAGCCTTGCTTGAGCTTCCCGTCTGGCCTCTTAGTAACGAGTACAAGAACCCCTGTTGGTAACAGTTGCGCTGAAGGGAAGCTTACCATCTAGTGAAGACAAAAATCCATGAAACCACATTGGAAGCGATATCCTTGTAATAGTAGAAAGCAGACAAGTAGAAAAATGCCCACGAGAAGGTAGAAAGTTTTAAGTGATATAAAAGAAACAGATGTCATGGAAAGACGATAAAAGGTCTTGTAGACGTCTGTTGATTTATGGGATCAACAGCACATGTTACCTGATCTCATCGGTACTGGCTATGCAGTACTTTCAGAGACCTGCCACCTTGCCAGTGGCTGGTCATAGCACAGAAGTGGAAGCTTGGGTGACCTGAAAGCAGAGCCAAATCAGTTTTGCCAGCAGGGGAAAGCTTGTTCAGGCTGATGTCCCAGAGGCTGGAATGTACTTGAAACAAAGGGTTGCAGCTGAAAAGCTTTGATGGTTTGGGAGGAAATGTAACAAAATGAACCTGCAGTTTACAAACCATGTCAAGAGTTATTTTCTCCTGCCTTCTACAAATCAAAGCCAAGAAACGAAAACACTTTTGGTAAAAGGGCATGCAGTCTCCTTTCCCGCTCTGGCTTCTCATTTTCATCCTCCCCTTCTCATGTTTTCCAGTGCATACTCTCACTTCTTCTTTCTCAGTCTCGGTGTTCCCTCCCCCACCCCTCGCCCCCTCCCCACGCCCGCGCTCTCGGCTCCGCTCTTGGCCCCTCCGCCTGGGACGGCCCCGGGGCCGCACCTGCCACAGGAGCGCCCAGCCCGACCCCGCCGGGGGACTGGCAGTGACGTAGCGGGGAGGACGGTGTCCGCGCGGCCCGCTGACGTCACTGCCGCAGCGGTCCCGAGCGAAGCCCAAGAATGGGAATTCGAGGAGGGAAACACGGCGGTGACCCCGCGGTCGCGGCTGAGCGCAGCGAGTGGGCCGCGTGCTTTGGGTTTTTGGAGCCGAAAAGCCGGAACCGCGCCTCTAGTGTAGGCTGAGCCCACCCCACACCCTCAGCGCGCCCGAACGCCAGAGTTTAGCGATAAGGGGAATGTCCCCAGACGGTGGGGCCTCGTGCGCACGCGCCTTGGCTGGGGGGCCTGCAAGACGAGGATTGGTGGGGGAGGAGGGCAGCGTGAAGCGGGAGAGGACTGTGACTGAGCTCCAAGGTGCGGCACAGGAGGAGGGCGGCTCAACCCCTCCGCTGCTAGCCGGTCTCCCTGGACGCTGCGGCGGCGCGGGGCCTGCGGCGCAGCGTCGTGACGTCACGGTGGCGGCGGCGGTGGTTGGCCCAGGGTCCGCGGCTGCAAAGTGTGAATTACGCCGGGCTCGCGCTGGCGGCGGAGTGAAGTCAGGCTCCGGGGGAGGGGAGGGGAGGGGCAGGACCGCGGCGGCGGCGGCCGGAGCTGGTGGCTGCACCCGAGCCCCGCGCGCCCTGAGTCTCGCCGCTGGCTCCAGCAGTCTTTTCTTGCACCGCTTTGCTCTGTCCTTGCTCCGCTCCTGCGCCGCTGGCCCCGGACCCTCTCCTCTCGGCCGAAGAGCCTGGCGGCGCCGGGGTTCCCCCGCCGACTTGGCTCGTGCTGCCCCCGCTTGCACCCCGGAGCCGGGAGCGCGCTGCTCTTCGTAACCGTCGCTGCGGCCGCCGCAGCGCCTTACCGCCGGCAACCCGGGTGGAGTGTTGGGGTGGGGGAGGCGTGAGCGCGGCTTCCCCGCCAGGGGTCGACGCCCGCCCGCCCTGCCCCCGCCTCGGCCCGGCGCCCCCGAGCCGCGGCCCCTTCCCAGCGCAGGGGCCGGCGGCCGCGGCAGGGCGGGCGCCGCGCGGGGGCAGGGCGGGCGTATTCAATGGAAGTATGTTACCAGCTGCCGGTGCTGCCCCTGGACAGGCCGGTCCCCCAGCACGTCCTCAGCCGCCGAGGGGCCATCAGCTTCAGCTCCAGCTCCGCGCTCTTCGGCTGCCCCAATCCCCGGCAGCTATCACAGGTAAGCGCCGCCGCCGCCGCAGCCACTGGGGGCCCACGCCTGGGGGCTTCTCTGTTGTTACCCCCCTCCCACCTGGCTTCACCTCCGCGACCCCTACTCCCCAGTCCTCGCCGTTCACCCCAGATCCACTACTGCCCATTGTTCGGGGATTCCTAGTCTGGCCCCTCGATTCGGGAGCCTTTTCCTTGACCCTCGGGGCTTCAGCCCCCCGGCCTGCTCAAGCCTGGACCCGGGTGGGCTCTGGGAGCCCTGCAGACCCTTCCCAGGCCCGCCCCCCTCCGTGCTCAGCGGCTTAAGACTCAGGAATGACTTTGTTTTCCTCCCTTTCTCGACGTCTCGGTCTGGAAGTTGGGACTCTCTTCGTCGGCGGTGGCCCTGGGCACACCTGGCCACCCTCACGCCCACACACCTGTGCTGGGTGCGCGCCTCGCCTCCCGCAGCTCCCGCGCGCCCTGCGGTGCTCGGACGGTCCTGCGGCCCTCCGAACAATAGGCCGATTCCCGGTTGCTCTTCTCCCCGACTCCTTCGATGATGTGAATGGACCCTAAGTGGTATCGGTCTCCAGAGTGCTTCCTCGAAGCTTCGGTTTTCGTAAAGTTGATAGCCAGGAACTAGTTTTGTTTTTAATTTGATAAGGAGGTTTTAAGAGAAAAACTACTGTTGGAGCACTCCCAGGAAGACTTTGTTTTGAATGGGCCAATACCGGTTGCTCCTGAGAATTTCGCGTTTTGTTTTTTTCTGTGGTGATGCTGTTGGCCCAGCTTCTACTTCTGGCTGATTTTGATTGCCGGATTTAAAATAGGGAGGTTAAAAGAATTTTGTTTTGTTTACATTTGAACTGAGTGAGTGCCCTCCATTTCTGCTGCCAGAACGTCACATGTTCACGATCACTTTTTAAATCACGTATATTTATTTTTCCTGTTGATTAATATTAGCGTCTTTTATGGGGGTATATGTTTTTCTCCTATTATATTGTAAATATCTTGAGCCCGGTCTGTATTTCTTTTGGGTTTTACTGGTAATGTGGATAGCACCCGGTAGAGATTTACTTACAGTAGGTGTGTCCAGTAAATATTTGCCATTTGCTTCTTTGCCTAAATTGTTTGTAGAGAGAGAGCAGTAGCCTATATTTGGGTTTCTCTGTGAATTGTTTTTATTTAAAATCAGACTTCTTTAGCAGGACAAGGTGGTATGCTAATGAGGTCAGAGTCAACTTGTAAAGATTACTATAATATTAAGTGACATCTAAAAATAATGCTACATAATTACTTTTAAAGTTAGGTCCGTGATCTGCCTTTACAGTACTGCTTAAAGCATTTTCAGGTTCCACATTTAATACTGAAGAGATACTAATGCATTAAAAAGGTTTTTAATGGTAGTAACTTTTTCATTTCTTATATCAGCAGCACATGACTAATACCCATTTCCGGTTCAGTCTAAATAATCAAGGCAATCAGTACTCATTTGTAAAATTATAAAATGTGAATAAAGTTACTTGTGCTCCCCAAGGAGAAAATGAATGAGATGGGAGATTCCAAGGGAGTTAAAACAAGTAAGGCTGATGCCAGGGAGTTTACCTGATGTCTTAATTAATCCACAGAGACCAACTTTAAGCTCCATTCCTTCTTGGCTCATTTCCTAGCCTTAGATTTAAATGGGTAATGGAATTTTAAAAATATGATTGGCAGATAAAGCAAATATTGTATAGCCACACCATACTTACTATTAAAACTTAAAAGAAATTGTTTGTACCCCAAAGTGAAGTGTATAGGAACTTATGAAAACTTGGACAGAAGTTTTCCTGAACTAACACTTTTTTCAAATTAGCGGTGCACAATATTAAAATGACAGTAAACTTACCATGATGCTGAATGGGTATATTTATCATTATCAAGACTTCGATTATCATTTAATACTAAAACATATGTCATAGTGATTTCTTTAGGGCCAGATGGGAATTTGTAATAGACTGAAAAAGAGGTAGAAAATCTTGGAATCTTATTCAGAGCTCTGTAAAGTAAATATTTGGTTAAATCAAAAGCTTTCTTTACCCTTGAATCTTCAGTTTCTAAGTCTTAAGTTAAAGGAATTATAAAAAGTTTGGGTGGTTTTGTAGTTTCATTTAAAAGACTTTAAGAAATCTATTTTTCTTTTTCTTTTTTTTTTTCCTTAGGCACTAGTAGAACAGTTATTTATATTAGAGTACTTGTATTTTAAAATATGTTCTCAACTAGCAGTCTTTTCCATTTTCATTGTAATATGGGAGCCCAGTTCTTAGTAGGGACTTAGTAATATTGGTTGAATGAGTGAATGGCTAATGAAATTTTAAGTTTTATCTCTGACTGAGCATCAGTTGAAAATAGGACATCAACGAAAGGACTTTCATCCAGGTAAAGCGGTAACTCTTTTATCCAAGACTTGGCTCTCCAGACTTTAACAGATTCAGGAAGTAAGCGAACACTCTGAGCGACCAAAGTAGATTTGGAGATCCTCTCAAAGCCAGTGTGTTTTAGGCAAAATTCTGACGAACTTGTTTTCCAAGTAGCATCAGATTTGAAGGGGGATGGGAGGCTGCTAGAGTCAGGTTCATACTGATAGCAGCAAAAGTTGACAGCTGACGCACCCAAAGCTCGGGGTCAGAAGAAACGCTCTTCAAAGCCAAAAACTTTTAAAAAGGACATAAAGTTTGGCATCTTGAGTGTTATACAACACAGTTATGTTTTTGACATTAGTCAAAATAACATTTAATGGAGTCTGTTTTTAAAAGTTGAAAGATTTGTGCTGTTTTAAAAAAAAAAAAACCTCCATGCCGAACATTTTAAGTGTTGGTGTTTAAATGGACAAGCCCGAGTTATCTGGAAGATTCATTTATGTGGAGCACCAAGTCTCCCAAGGATGCCAAGTAAATGAAGCATTAACTTTTTGTTTTAAATCAGGTCATGTACTACTTTCTCAAATGGTTAATACAATTTTTTTAATTATTTGAAAAATAAGGATAATAGAAGATGGTTGTTGATTGTTTTCACCATTTTGGGGATATCTGTTGTTGATAGTTGAGTATAAAAACATTCATCTTGCAAAATACGTTTCTTATTTGGAAAAAAATATTGTGAGAGCAGAAATTATCTTGTTCACCACTGTGGCCACAGTGCTTTGCATAGGTAGGTGCTTATTAAGCATGGAAGTTGAGCTAGTGTATTGATAGCATGCCAAAACACCGCACCTGGGATGATTTCAGTCAGATTTTCTATACACTGGAAACAAATCTTATTTGGGTTAGAAAGCTGAGGTTTAATTTTTAAAATTTAACATAAATCTATGATATGTATTATTATTGAACAAAATTTGGGGATCTAACATGTAAACATATGCTTTTAATACCATAATAATCTAAATTTGATTTCTAATTTAGCATCTGTATCTTTTTTTTTAAATAGATTTGATTTTTTAGAGCAGTTTTAGATTCACAGCACTATTGAGTGGAACACGCAGAGATTTCTCTCACCTGGAACATGCGTAGCTTCCCCATCATCAGTATCTCCTACATGAGCAGTACATGAACCTCCCTAACACATCAGTATCACCCAGAGTCCATAGTTTACCACAGGGTTCATTCTTGGTGTCTTTTTTTTTTAATCCAGAAACTATTCCACAAATATTTACTGAACACCTCTGTGAACAAGGCTCCTTGTGTTAGGTGCTGAGAAAATGTAAAGAATTAGTAGTTTAAAAAAAAAATCACTTGTGAGCCTGCCAACCTAACCAAGTTTTTCTTTGAAGCATTGCCTTCCTTATTCATAAACATTTTTCACCTGTATTCACAGTCCACATCTCTGGTGTCTTTGGTAACGTTCTAAGAATATAACAAATTATCGAGGTCCTGTATGTGCCAGAACAGTTCAGAGCCCCTTGGATAAAAGTTGGTTGGTTTCTCCTTGAAAAAGCTTTTACAGGATTGTGGTGGGGAAAATGGTATGCTTATATATGACATAATTTTTGTACTGGGGTTATCAAGCTCTAATGAGACTACAAGAAGGTATACCTAAATTTCCTGGGTAAATCAGGGGAAGCCTCACGTGGTAGTTGAGCCTTAGGCTAAGGCCTGAAGGTTAAGAAGATGTTTCTTAGTAAATGGGTGCATGTAGGGGAGGAGGAGAGGGGAGGCGCAGGTAGCTATGTAGATCAAAAAGCACCATCAAAAGAAGTTTTTGCGATGATGGAAATGTTCTCTGCAGTACCTAAGATAATAGTCACTAGCCATATAGCTAGGTGAGCCCTTGAAATATGACTAGTTTTGACTGAGGGATTGAATTTTAAATACAGTTTTGTTTAAATAGCTCCATATGGCTGGTGGCTACTGTATTGGCAGAGCAGGTGTGTAGTGTGCTTAATGATGGTTAGTAGTGATGTCATGTTGATCTGTCCGTAGCACGTTCTCCGGATGTGGAACATGAGAGCTACTTTCAGGTTGCTGCTGTTGGCTGCAAAACTTCATTTAATACCTTCATGCAAATTTGATAAAGTCCTTAGAGTGGAAGCACTAGATTGGGTCGACAGGTAGGAAGGAATACTTTCTGGCTTTCTAGAATTCTCTTTTCTTTTACAGTGCAAAGATGAATGAGCATATCTCTTTCATCTCCAATCACATAGTATTAAATTGTAATACTTATATGTTAAATAACCATTTTATAAACATTTATATAAACGTTTTACTGCTTCAGTAGATGTGCTGTGGTACACCGAGTTTGTTTTCACTTGCAGTAAGGGTGTACAGTTTCTCGACTGTTTTTTGTACATTTGCATTACCTCTTTTGTGACATTTCATTTGCATATCCTGTGCTTATTTATGGAGGCTCTTATATATCTAATATCAGTTTGTAAATTGCATCATTTCAAATATTGTTAGCATAGTTGTTGCCTTTTCACAAGCCTGCGTTCAGAAGCCAGTACAGGGGTTGTGTGAACAGTGGTGAACAGGGGAGTGATTCTGTTCCTGACAC